GGGGTGTGTGGGATGATTGAAGGGGTGGGATGGTAAGATGAGGTAAGAGATGATGGAAGGGGTGGGATGGTAAGATGAGGTGAGAGATGATGGAAGGGGTGGGATGGTAAGATGAGGTGAGAGATGATGGAAGGGGTGGGATGGTAAGATGAGGTGAGAGATGATGAAAGGAATAGGATGATAAGATGGGGTGTGAGATAATGGATGGGGTGGTTTGGTATGTTGGGGTGTGTGGAATGATTAAAGGTGAAGGGGTGGGATGGTAAGATGGGTTGTGAGGTGATGGTTGGGGTGGGATAGTAAGATGAGATGGGGAAGAGGTAAATTTATATAGCTTGTTTCATTAATATTGAAATTATTTAAAATACGAGATGTGTGATTAATTTCAGTTTTATCAATTGTCACTAAACAGCATTCTAACAGTTGTGTCTTCTTTTTTTCTGCAATACATGTTTTTTAATGCCTTTCACCTTGCTACATTGCACCTTTGTCAGCTTAAATTATTTTATTATTAAATATAAATAACCAGACGCTTTAATGCAGAGACCTTCTATATCCATAAATTAGGACAGTTCTTCCTACTGTTTAATAGTTTTTTGTTTTACACAGTGACCCCATCCCTTCTCCCCAATTTCCCATCAGCACCTTTTTAATATGTTTTAAGGACTAAATACAGATACTTGGTTTCATTATTTCTGGTTCTGGTGAGAATCAGTTACTTACATTTCTCCTGCCAAGTTAATCAGCTGCATAATTAGAGATTACTGTTAGATATGCTGTAACCCAGATTGCTCTTAAAATTAACAGTCAATTTATTGCCCAATAAAGCACACACAGAGTATTTTAACACTCATACACTTTGGATCATGGCATTGTTATATTACTTTTATGAAATCAAGTTAGTCTTTGACATTAATAACTATTCCAGGCACAGAAAATAATTCCTAGATTTTACTATTAACATGACGTGAAGTCATGATTTTATTAATGACACGGAGACGAGTATTAGGCTTTCTCTTACTTTATTTTCCCTCAGTAGTAAAGAGAAAATATATATATATAACTTGAAGGTATATGAATAAAAGTATCAATTATAACAAATCTGCCTTGGAACAGTATAGCCAATCAGGATACAGGACAGTCTATAAAAGGTCTGAGTTAGCAGTAAACTTCCTCTACTTTGCCGGTAAAACCGAAGACCAGAATCCAATCCAAAACTTGAAACATCATGAATAATGTCCATGTAGGTAAACTTCTCGGTCGATAATCAAGCTGTGGAAAAACAAATATATGGTAAAATCCAAACTCAGGACTCTGCACAATCACAATTCAAGGCCATAGGCATAAATCAGTATAATCAGGATAGAAAAAACGGATCACATAACGTTATGCGCATGAGTCATCACCTAATACACTTACCGCCAATTACCGTGAAGAACCATATCATGGTAACTCGGTAACGCCCAAAAACCCACCGGGAGGGTGGGTGGGAATAATACTCGCCTCCGTATCATTAATAAAATCATGACTTTACGTCATGTTAATAGTAAAATCTAGAAATGTTATTAATGACACAGAGGCTCCTATTAATATGCTAGTTCAAAGCTGAGCCACAATCTATGAAGAAAAATGGTCATTCGCGCGGAAATAAAAATCCGGAAACGTAGATTCGTGAGACCAATTCGCAGCTCTCAATAGATCTTCAAGGTGACAACCTACCATCAAAGCTTTAGAGGCCATGGCACCCATCACAGAATGAGCTGAGAACATCAAAGTGTCAATCCCTGTCATGGATAGAAGGTCCTGGATCCACCGAGCTAAAGTGGGCTTAGAAACTGGGAGATGTAGTACACGAAACGAAATGAGCAATTAAAAAGGTAAATCAGGTGATTGTAATCTCTGTGTACGATCTAGATAAAATCGCAAACAAGCAACCGGTCATAGAGTAGGTCTGACAGAGTATCTCGGGTAGGAGACCATTTTCGTAGCTGACTTAGTCCTACAAGATATGTTGAACGATGCTCCCTCTGGAGTGAAGGATATTGTGGTCCAATCCAAGGCTCTAACATCTGACTTTCGTTTACAGGAAAGCAAACATAGAAGCATAAGCAGTTTCCAAGACAGGTGTTTAAGGAACAATTCATCATTCATAAACCAGGAGTCCAAAAAATTTAACACCATATTGACATCCCAAAATGAGGAGTATCTTTGCTCTTGGGGGTCTAATGAATCGTCTACAAATGAAAGGATGCTGTCCGATTGGGGAACTATCCAAACCTTGTCCTGCAGAAATAGCAGATTTGTAAACATTGACTGTGTGATAAGCTTTTCCCCGATTCAAAAAGTGTAGTTAGAAAATGTAGTACCGCATTCAGAGAGGCAGAAACTGGATCCAACGACCTTTCAACGCACAAGCAAGCCCATATTTGCCAGGCAGACCGATAGGCAGATCTAATCCCCGGACCCAGGCATTGTTCAGGAGTTTCGTAGTTAATTTGGAACATTTGCGATTGTCCAGGGACTCCGGAAACTAACGATGCCGTGAGCTGAAGTAGATCCTGATCTATCAAGACGTGTGACTTCCCATCCAGATCTATAAGCAAGTCCGGGACTATTGGTATCAGAAGCGAGAAATCCAAAGGCATCTCCAGAAGTCTAGGAAACCAAGGCTGTGTTTGCCACATTGGAGTCACTATCACCAGAGAACATTCGTGTCTGCATATGTAAGACAGTGTCCAAGAGATAAGGTTGAACAGAGGAACGGGATGGTGGCCACATCTGCAGGAAGGCGTCCACCCCCATCGCTGCGGGGTCCGTACGCCAACTGTATCTTGGGGTAGTTGGGTGTTCATTGGATGCAAACAGGTCTATGTCCAGTGGACCCCACAATAGTCTGAGTTGTCGGAAGGTCGACCTGAGCAGGTGCCAATCCCCCAAATCCTCCAGTCCGCCCACGTGTTGTCCAATCCCAGGATATGTTTGGCCATCACTGATACATTGTTGCTAAGGCAGAAGTGCCAAAATTCCATTGGTAGGTTTGACAGCAATTGCGATTTTGTGCCTCCCAGGTGATTGATTTAACGTACTGTCGACACATTGTCCAAGCGGAGTAGTGTGCAACCAATTCCCAGAGTTGGCGAAAGACTGTGGATGGTGAAAGACCCCGCCAGCAATTCCAGACAGTTGATGTGGAGCAGAGATTTGTTTGTTGACCATCTGCCACCTGTGGAAATGTTCTTGCAATGTGCTCCCCAGCCATGTAAGCTGGCATCCGATTTTATTATGTCCGAAGCGGACCCGAATATCGCCTGACCATTCCACGCTTCCATGTGGCTCAGGGACCACTCCAGTTCTTCCTGTGAGCCTATGTCCAATATCAGTTGGAACTTTTAGGAATGTCCTGCTCTTAGGTAGGAGCCTTAGCAGAGCACGGTAGTGTAGGGGTCCCAGGAAGATCGCTTGGATCAATGAAGCGAGTAGACCGAATTTTCAACTACTATCATGTCCTCTGTATCTGCCACCTTTGCCTCTGGCCGCCAACACAGAGCGACCAGATTTCTGTTTCTCTTCTTCCAGTGGTATGTGTGCCCTGACTGCCCTTGTGACGGCAACTGAAACCACATTTATATCAATTAAAAAGAAAACAGAGCAACACATGAAAGAATGTTAGCACAAGTTTTAGGTAATTTTCAAAGTTTCATTCAAAGTATCATTTTCAGAGAAGTATCAATTCCCTTTTAAAATAGAAATGAAATACGCACTAGTTTATCACCGATATGATACAAACTGGCAAAAGAAGGCTGGTTTTGACTTATGATGTTCTTCTGTCCTATAAATGAATATAAAAGAAAGATTGCCAGGTGATGCCTACTATATAGTAGGATATCTGTATAACAGCGATCTATCTCTGAGCATACTGATGGGTGGGAGGCAGAACAATCAGCTATGTGTATGTTTATTTATATGGATAACCACGTGTAGGGAGTGCCTTTAACAAAAACTTTTCCATTTATGACTCAAATACCTTCCCTTGTTTCCCACACCATAGATCCCACTTATTTTCTAGTTGAAAGACACACTTCTTCCTTGATGTCTCCCACTCTGCATTCTACACTTACAGGCTCACAAAACACATTTTGAATACTTTAGTTTTGAAACTGTTAAAGGGACACTGTAGGCACTATAGCCATTTAATCTTATTGAATTGGTTATAGTGCCTGGAGTCACCTGGCTCTGGCCCCATATGCAGAGTCAAACCATTTTCAAGCAGTTTAGCAACCCAAGCCCAGCTCCCATTGGAGATACCATGAAGGCAGAGATTATACACTTCCTACTAGCCATAATAATTAATGCCAGCAATGTACGCTGTGATTGGCTGAGAGTGTCATCTGACTGTTTTCAGCCTATCACTGCATCCCACTTTTGCTGAAGCTAATACTTCCTCATTAGCTCAAAGAGGACAGACTTATTAGAAGAAACGGAAAGTCAAGGGACTCAATACACTAATTACTTCAATGAGATGAAGCAATCACAGTTCCTATAGTGTCCCTTTAAGCATCATTTGTAATATGTAATATATAAATGTCTAATTAAGAATTTATTATTTTTTTTTTAAAGTACTAAAATTAAAAAAAAAAAAAAAACTACCCTGGCATTAAAATAATAATAAAAAAAAAAACTACCCTGGCACTCAGTTGGTTAATGCTTTTTGACAGTTCCGACTGCTAGTACAGTAAGACTTTACTTGCCAACCTATTATCTGTACTATCTGAATTTGTTATGTAAAGGGATGTGTGTCCCAATCTGATCGTTACAAACAAATGAGAACAGTTTATATCTCCAGAAATCAGTACGCACACATGCCATATCTTTAAGAAATACACAGCTTCCCTCTTGCTCTGTACAGAGGAAATACAAGACAGATAAAGTCACAATTCACTTTAAGCTATCTCTAAACATCACTGATCAATACACTCGTTATTGCCTGTATAGCTTTTAGACCAGGCTTCCCCAAACTCCGGCCCTCCAGATGTTGCTGAACTACAACTCCCATGATTCTATGAATGAAATAGATAGGCTGAGAATCATGGGAGTTGTAGTCCAGCAACATCTGGAGGGTTGGAGTTTGGGGAAGCCTGTTTTAGACCTTAATGGGTTTATTCACTAACATCTGAGTTGAGGCAAATGTAAATTGAAATTGCAAAGCTTAGGCTAAAATAGACAAACGGTGATTAAAGTTAATTTGCAAATTGGATAGTTCAGCCTTAAAAGGGACATGCATCACTTTGAGATAACTGTCTTATTTAAAAGCTTTAGCTCTGAATGAGATAGTTGCCTCATTCTGCAGGATAAAAAAACAACATGTAAATATGTTGTTTTTTCATATTTACCTGCTTCATCTCTCTTATGCTTTTCACACCCAATCCAGAGGGTAACTGATCTAACCAATCAATTCCCTATCCCTATGAATGCTGGAAAAGTGCATTGGGCAAGCCTGGAAGATTTACACATTTGTAATTCAAAGAATTCTTCACCATGCAAAATCCTGACAGGAGAAAAGAGATGGAGTCCGATCAGTGTGATCATGCAGCGCAGGCTCTGATGTCAAGTTTCCTTCTTTTGTGTGGAAAGTTTCAAAAAAAGAATAAACTTTCTGTCATAACCTTGGACTGAGTTTCTCTGGTTTTACCGGGTGTTTTGAAGTGCCCAACATTTTCTGTGGCCTACCACCAAACCCTTGCTTGGAGAAGCACCCGATCCGACACTTTAATTCAACATCAACCTTTATTTTGGCTCCCCTCTATATGTCTCTTTATCTCCCCAAGCCCCTATGTGTGTCTCATTATCCCTCCTAAGCCTCATTGTGTGTCTCTTTTTGCCTCCAGCCCCTCTGTGTGTCTCTTCCCCAAAGCCTCTCTGTGTCTCTTACCCCCCAAGCCTCTCTGTATGTCTCTTCCCCCCCAGTCCCATGTGTGTCCCCACCCCCAGGCCTTTGTGTGTGTCTTTACCACCCTCACATCCATTTATGGTCTCTTCCATGCCCTTTCCCTTTGTGGTCTCTCGCAACCCCTCTCCTATGCCAGCTGACCTCCCTCCATGTAGCTTGGCCGGGCAGACCAGGGTAAATAATCTTCTGCATCCTCTATCCAGTCTGACAGGAAGCGGTTTGTCACTCAGAGCGAGTACTTCCTGTCAGATCGGGTAGAGGATAGAGAAGATCCTCTACCGCGGTCTGCGCAGCCATGCTACATGCAGTGTCATCCAGGAGGGGAAGCACTGTGCTGTGTGCTCCCCTCCAGCCATTCAGTTGGCAATTCCACCCCCTGGGCTGGGGCACAATAGTTGGCCACCTGTGACGCCTTATGGTTGCACTGGCCCATCCCATAATGACTTCTGTCCACTTCCAAAAGCGCCTCCAGTGGGAAAATAAGCATCAGAAGTGGACAATAGAGTAATGGAAGAATGATGATTCATGTTTTCTTTCAGATCACGTGGATGGTCGGGTGAGTGTTAACCTGGAGTAGAGATGGCAGCAGGATGCACTATGGGAAGAAGACAGACCTGCAAAGGAGGTGTTATGCTCTGGGCAATGTTCTGCTGGGAAACCTTGGGTCCTGGCATTCATGTGGATGTTACTTTGACATGTATCACCTACCCAGAGATTGTTGTAGACCACATACATCCCTTCATGGCAGTGGCCTCTTTCAGCAGGATAACGCATCCTGTCACATGGCAAACATTGTTCAGGAATGGTTTGAGGAACATGACAAAGAGTTCAAGGTGTTGCCTTGGCCTCCAAATTCCCCAGATATCAATCTGTTTTAGCATCTGTGGGATGTGCCGGAGCAAAATATCTGTTCCATGGAGGCCCCACCACTCAACTTGCAGGACTCAAAAGGATCTGCTGCGTATGTCTTGGTGCCAGATACCACAGGACATGCTCACAGGTGGAGTCCATTCCTTGATGCATCAGCAGTGTTTTGGCAGCACGAGGGGAACCTACACGATATTAGGCAGGTGATATTAATATTCAAAACGTGCAGCTTACTACATCTATGATGTTATCACAGATTTTATTTTTATTGCTTAAGGTGCGATTCCTCTGTGTTTATCCGCTGGTTTGCTATTGTCTAATATCCTGCTAAATTGTTAAGATCTGTGAATGTTCCACTGCACAACAAAAATAAAAAAAATAAACAGTATTTTTTTCTATTCTAATTTTTTTTTAATGGATATTTCTTTGTATAATATATTGCATCACCTGTACAGCGGATTAAAAAGAGAATGGTTTAAATTCTGCCTGGAGAAGCCTTTCAAACTACCATTAACCCTCTGAGGCCAGGGTAGCCCTTTGCTTTCTATAATAGATTTCCCTTGTATTACTCACAAGGAACGTATCATTTTGGAATGACTCTTTTGAGTGTAATTCATTGTTCCAACATGTAAAACTTGATTTGAAACAAATTATGCAGTTACTCACTAAATTATTCAGTGAAGTGTGAACCTCAAATTATAGGCCAAAACAGCCAAAACAAAAAATAAAACAAAAACAACTGACTTTGAGAATAAAGTACAATTTTATCTGGGATGATCTGGGTTAAGTTTGCTTAGGCAATTGTGATTAACCCTTTACAACACTTACTGTAAGTCTTTGTCCTTATTGCCTTCAACGAGTTAATCTTTTTTACTGTGGGGATAAGATGTTTTTTCTATTACTGGGGAACACGTGGGTCCCATATGGAACCGTTTCCTTGGTGCATGAAATGATTTGATGTTTATTGTTCTGTCTAAGTTTTATAATAAAAGACTCTCACCTATTTAATGTGTCCCACTTACAATCTCCTATGTCGGCGGGATAAAAAAATAATTTGGAATAGTCATAAAATGCATCCAATTCACTCTATAAAAAATGTCACTTGGACAAAATGTGTAACAATTTCCTTTGTTACACTTTCTTCACAATAGAACGTGCAAACAAGTTTTTTTTTTTTTTGTTAAACCTAAAAGACTTCTAACTTAATCCAAAAAAATAATTAAAATTTCATGCATTTTATTGGCTCCAGTATCCAACAGAGTAAAAATATTAGAACTCTCTCACCTTCTCTATAAAAGCGGGGCACAACTGGTCTGCTTTATTAGTTGTGAGTCTGTGAACAGACTCAAATCAGAAAGAAAGATGTGAAAAAAAAATATAGAACCCTGTCTGGCTGTAAACATAATACAATTAACTATTAAACCCGCTGAAGCAATATTAAAACAATATTTAGTTCAATAACTGTGACATTGCATGCATATAAATTTTATTGGTTTCAAATAGAGGGGAGTAAAATGGGCTCCTACAGATCACTTAAAAGCAGGTGTTGGAGCCCTGCAAAATTAAAGCTTAGTCCCTGTTTTCAAGCAGAATATGTAGCAGGGTAAAAATGTAGCAATCAGACTCTTAAAATCTCCAGTTAAACTGTTATTGCCTCAACTAGAGGGCTGGATTAAGGCATCAATCAGGCCCCTATAACCTCCTAGTATTTAACCACAGGCTCAAGGCATATTGAGCAGGCCTTAATATCATCACATTAGAGAGGCTCCTAATCTCATTAGGCCTAGCAGCATGTGTTTATCAGTTTATACAACACTATTATTACATGCAGATTGAGATTAAGGACATGATTGCAAATGTGTAATTTGTCACATCATATGGTCCAGTTAATGCCTTGTTTATTGGATTTACAATGTAAGGATGGACTTTTTAAAAAGTACAATTATTTTTTTTATATGAATCAGTGCCTTGGTAGGATGGCCAATAGTTTAACCATGTTTCCTGGGCTTCCATTTATTCTTCGCACTGATGGGTAGTTCCTGAAAATTTTTGTTATATTGTATGTAGACGCTGCAGGAGATAAATCAGTTAATCAAGTTGGTTGCTTTGTAATAATTAGTTGATTAATTACTATTTCCTTTCAGCTGATTCCTGGTTCTCCATATCCCATGGCTACATTTTTTGTGTACTTCTCAACAATATTTAGAGGCGATATTTGCCCATGAGAATATGGTGTGGGTGGAAGGGAGGGGGAGTTATACAGAGCTCTCAGATAGGTTACAAAATGTGTATTACTTATATTGTTTTCTTTACATTCATAGTTCATACAAGGGTAATTGCAGTATGCTTTGATACATTGTTTATTTTATTATAATTTTAAGGAAGTGTAGGCCTCCTTTTCTCCCTTTCTCTCTATTAGAAGGTTATGTAACAAACCCCCCAAAATGTCCTGAATTAACTAGTTTATTTTAACTTGAAGACAAAAATAGTCAAAATGGAAATATTCTCTAATACAGCTTTGTGTGCAGCTCAACAACTCTAGGCCTTAATCCATTGCCAATTCCAAACAATTCATGATTTAGTAAATAAATATTTTTCTATGTCTCCTTTGTGTCTCTGCCTTGTCTTTGTCTCTGTGACTGTCAAGTCTACTCTATGTTTCTCTCTAGGGAATCATTCACTAGACAGCACATTGGAATGAACGAAAACAAAAATTACACAATTTAGTAAACAAGGTAAGAGCTACAATCCCAGCTTGGCTATTTCAGCAGGATTTTTTTTATATGTATAGTGTTTTAATTCGCCCCCTGTAGGTGTAATGTACAATTATTAGTATAAGTGGGAAGCTCTGTGTTTTAATAAAAGCTATTGTATATTTGACATTATGTACTACATATTTCCTTAATTTATTGTGGGCTAATTGTCAAATAAATAGGCTGTGGAGCAAAGTCTTATGAAACTTAGATTACAATGTACAAGTTTGGACAAGACATTCTGACACATCTAACATACTGTATTAATTGTCTCCAAAGCCAATTCCCCCTTATTGCACTATGTTGTGTTTGTGTGTGTTGTAGTAATTGTCTGACAAATTCCCATTTGTGAAATGTAAAAGGTTTTTTTCCCCCTCTAATAATGACTAATTTATTTTTATATAACTGTTGCCAATACCCACAATATCTGTTCCATTACTTGTAACCTGTAGTGTACCAGAGCTTGCCATGGGTTCTAACACACCTGTGATACTAAAGGGGTTAAAACAATTAAAATGATCAGGCAGGGGCAATGAATAATAATTAGACACTCATTGTAAAGAGTGTCATCTACATATTAAGTCACCTGGACCCCCTATTTTACACTCAGCAGGGGAGTTTATTGTGAGTGACACTAAATGATCTCCTACCTGATTAGATCCCTGTATGTGTTACTATAGTCAGTTTACATCAGGGACAACAAGCAGGACATTATTGCTACAATGGGGTTAATTAATGGGGATGGAAAGGTGCAAATGGCCTGACATCCTCTTAACATAGTGTCAAGTCACTTTACAACAGGGGAAATAAATACAAAATGATAATATATTGAGGGATTTAGCCAGAATATTGCACAATTAACAGAATTACTTTGATGGGATTCACAAATGAGCACATAAGACCCTTAGGACAAATAAATAAACGTATTATGATGAAGGAAAAGCTTCATTGATAACCTGCATGTTTTAGGATTAATATATATTTTTATGATAGATTGGCAGATGACAAATTATGAACGCTCTCCCATCTGTACTTTAATAGTGCATGTTTGCAGCTTTAATTCTTCGGGTTTTAATCTAATGCATCCACGTGACATATCGATTTTGCCTTGAACTGAATTCCAGAGAACTCTGAAAATTAACCCCCTATACCTGTTGTAAAGCAATGATATTTTGCCATTTATTTGGTTAAAGTAATTCCAGGTAGACTTGTTGTGAGCACAGCAGGTCAACAGAATTGGTCATACTTGAATGGCAATATCTATCAGGCAAACCTTTACTCTCCCATATTTACCATATTATTGTTATTCACTAAACTGCGAGTTTGGCTGAAATGATAACCGACTTTCAGAATGTTCACAAAAATAACACCACAATTCACTGTTTAGTGAACAAGACCAAGAATTCTTCTTTGAGTTAAAAAACAACAATTCATATAATATCTACATTAGCAGTTATTGTAGTTACTAAACATGCATTTCTAGTACGCCTATAATAATATAGTGTGTTTATTATATAAACATATATGCAATTTACACTCATTAATAGTCGCTCTGTTAGTGTGGTCTTTATATATAAAACCTGCATGTTGGTAGAGATGAGATACAATCTAGCAATGATGTAGCTGTGATAGAAATAGTAATATGCTATCTGTATAATAAACACAAACTATCGAGCTGTATAATAAATATTTAATATTATAGCTGTGTAATAAATAGCTCCTATTCTAGCTGTATAATAGTATTACTCTCTAGAGTCTAGCCCAGTGACAAACTAAGTGTAACTAGTATAATAAATAGTAATATTGTAGCTGTGTAATTAATAGTACTCTTTTAGGTGTATAATAAATCTGTAATACTGTAGCTGTAAAATAAACAGTACTTGTCTAACCTTATAATAAACATGAATACACAGGTTGTATAATAAACTGTTATACTGTAGATGTATAATAAACAGCAGTTACTGTATCTGTATTGCCCTAGCTGTATAATAAACATAATTTAGCTGTATAATATATAGTAAAACTGTAGCTGTATAATAAATACTAATGTTCTAGCTGGGTAATAAATCAGTAAAACTGTCGCCGTATAATAAACACAGCACCCATGTTGTATAATACTGTCACTGTATTGCTCTAGCTGTATAATAAACACAATGTAGCTGTATACTAAACTTAAAAACTGCAGCTGTACAATAGAGAGTTAATATTGTAGCTGTATAATAGTATTACTCTATCTGTATGACAAACAGAAATTGTAACTGTCTAATAAATAATATTCTAGCTGTATGATAAGTGGTACTAATCTAGCCATATAATAAACATACTCTAATACTCTAGATGTATAATAAACAGTAATATTGCAGTTGTATATTAAATACAACTACTCTAGATGTATAACAGTAATACTTACCTGTACAATAGTGATAATCAACAGTAATCTTGCAGTTGTATAATAGATAGTTATACTCTAGATTTATAATAAACTGTAATATTGCAGTTGTATAATAGAGCGTATGTTAAACAGTAGCATTGCAGTTGTCTAATAGATAGTAATACTCTACAAGTATAATAAACAGTAATATTATAGTTGTATAATAGATAGTAATATTCTAGATGTATAATAGACAGTAACATTGCAGTTGTGTAATAAACTTTAATACTTTTACAAGTTTACGTAAATAAAAACCGTGATAATGTAGCTTATAATAAATATCAATCCTGTAGCTGTATAATAAACAGTAAGAGTCTAGCTATATAATATACATGAATACTCTAGCTGTATAATAAATAGTAGTACTGTGTCTGTATAATAATCAGTAATGTATCTTTGTAATAAATAATTATACGGTGACAGTAATACTTTCTCTCTCTCTCTCTATATATAGACACACACTTATAATAATAACTAATACTCTTTTAATATGTATAATACTCTATATGTAATACTCAGTAACAATCTAGTAATATATATAGAATACTTAGTAATACTCTAGTAACAATACTCAGAAATACTCTAGTAATATGTAATAATCAGAAATATTCTAATATATGTGTGTTTGTGTGTGTGTAAATCTCTAGTTATTATATATATATATATATATATATATATATATATCTAGGAAATACTCCATATATAACACTCAATAATACTCTAGTAATGTATGTATTTAATATTCTAGTAAAATGTAATACTCAGTAATATCCCAGTAATGTCTATATTTAATACTCCAGTAATATATTACTCAGTAATACTCCAGTAATATATATTTAATACTCAGTAATACTCTAGTAATGTCTATATTTAACACTTCGTAATATATAACACTAAATAATACTTCAGTAATTTATATAGTATTTAATACTCCAGTAATATATAATACTCAGTAATACTCCAATAATGTATATATTTTATACTCAATAATAGCAGTATAGTGATGTCTATATATAATAGTAAATCTCCAGTAATATATACTACTCAGTAATACTCCAGTAATGTATATATTTAATACTCAGTAATAGTATTATCATGTCTATCTAATAATACTCGGTAACACGCCGGTAATGTATATATTTTATACTCAGTATTAGTATTATCATTTCTATATATAGTACTCAGTAATACGCCAGTAATGTATAATACTCAGTAACAATCCAGTAATGTATTTAGTATTTAATACTCAGTAATATATAATACTCAGTAATACATATATTTAATACTGTACACAGTAATACTCCAGCAATATATAATACTCAGTAATACTCCAGTAAAGTATATATTTAATACTGTACTCAGTAATACTCCAGTAATATGTAATACTCAGTAATGTATATAGTATTTAATACTCAGTAATACTCCAGTAATGTATATAGTATATAATACTCAGTAATAGTATTATTATAATGATGTCTATATATAATACTCAGTGATACTCTAGTAATATAATATATATATAATACCCAGTAATATAATAATAATATTAATGCTGTCTGTCTATATATAATATCCCAGTAATAATAATAATAATAATAATAATAATAATAATGCTGTCTATATATAATATCCCGGTAATAATAATAATAATAATAATAAATATTATTAATGATAATGATAATGATGATGGGCAGACTGTGAGATTGTCCCTGGTGCCAGGCTGCTCTCAGTGTCTCAGCGCTTATTGTATTGGCGGCCGCGGATTGGTCCCCGGGTTACTATCAGTGGGCGCGGCCTCGGCTCTCCGCCAATCACAGCTCGCAGCGGACAGTGCAGGAAGTGAATGAAGAGCTCGGGGTGGCGCCCGGTGCCCATAGAAAGCCATGGAGGGCTCGAGCCGGGCACAGTCCGCACAGTCCGCGTCACAGCCGGCAGCCAGCGCTGGAGGAGGACAGACACACCGGCAGCGGGACAGATAGACAGCCACACCGGGCAGGACATATACCGGAGCGCAGTACAGATACCGGACAGGACATATACCGGAGCGCAGTATATATACCGGACAGGACATATACCGGAGCGCAGTATATATACCGGACAGGACATATACCGGAGCGCAGTATATATACCGGACAGGACATATACCGGAGCGCAGTACAGATACCGGACAGGACATATACCGGAGCGCAGTACAGATACCGGACAGGACATATACCGGAGCGCAGTATATATACCGGACAGGACATATACCGGAGCGCAGTATATATACCGGACAGGACATATACCGGAGCGCAGTATATATACCGGACAGGACATATACCGGAGCGCAGTACAGATACCGAACAGGACATATACCGGAGCGCAGTACAGATACCGAACAGGACATATACCGGAGCGCAGTATATATACCGGACAGGACATATACCGGAGCGCAGTATATATACCGGACAGGACATATACCGGAGCGCAGTATATATACCGGACAGGACATATACCGGAGCGCAGTACAGCCAGGAATAGAGGGAGGACATATACCGGAGCGCAGTATATATACCGGACAGGACATATACCGGAGCGCAGTACAGCCAGGAATAGAGGGAGGACATATACCGGAGCGCAGTAGAGCCAGCACTCTGTACCCACCTTGGAGAGGGGCCACTTACCGCAGCATGCAGTACCAGCACCCCAGCTCCCCGGCCATGGCTGTCAGTGTGCCCCTGTACGCCCCCACCCCCCTGCAGCCCGTGCACCCCACGCCGTTCTACATCGATGACATCCTGGGGAGGAGCGGGGCATCCACCGGCACCCACACCCTGCCAGCCCCCACCCTGCCCTCCCCCAACTCCTCGTTCACCAGCTTTGTGACCGCTTACAAGGCCCCCATCTATGAGCCCACCCCGATACACCCTGCATTCACCCACCCAGCCCTGGCAGCATCCTATGGAGCCAGCACCTTCCACAGCCCCCTGTACCCCTTCTCCAGACCCATGGGGGAGTACCATGCCCTCATCAGACACGACCCAATGGGTGAGTAATGTACTTGGCATAGACCTACAACTGTCTGTCTGTGTGTGTAGAGGAGAGGCTGGATGGCCTAGGATGAGACTAAATGGTTAATGATGGGCACTGGGCTATTCTTAGACTTTATAAAAGTTAATTCCTAGTGACAGCATGGACAGTTATATTTTATTAAAACAAGGAATTAGTGTCAGCTCTGCAGCACAGACGTCTTTGCAGGTGCCATGTTCTATGATGGACCACTTTCTGTGTGTGTAGGGGGTATACATGTGTGCCAATCAATCTACCCATACCAGCCTTGTGCTCCTTATTAATATAGGTGTTTTTTAAAGGGGGGGTAGGAGGGAGGCCAGCCTTATAATCCTATTAATATATTTATATGTGGGGGAGGAGAAAGTATACGTCTGCCAACCAGACTCTTCATACCAGCCTTATGATCATTACTATTAATATGTATGTGTGGGGAGGGGGTATAGATGTGTGCCTGTCAGACACCTCATACCAGCCTTGTGATATTTCTGATAATTATATATAATGTTTAGGTGTTAGAATCTGGTTAAAGGAATTGAAATCTTTTTGTGGCTGTTTTGATTTCACGTCCTTTGTGTTCTGCTGCTGTTTGATCACTAAAACTAAACCACAACTTTATGGTGAACTGCAGCGCTGGTTATATTAACTGTACTAAAGTTTCAGGGATTTTTTTTTTTTTTTAAATAATATCAACATAAACGTTTAACTGTTACCTCCTGGGGAAAAAAAAAACGTTTTCTATTTTTGGATCACTTCGCAGAAATCGATTCAGGTAAATTTACAGGAGAACGAACTGTACAGAAATACAAAACGGTTTTCAAGTTCTAAAAGTAGAACAGATACCGTGAAAAGCAATATAGTATTACTCCTATTTTAGAAAGTTACTGTATTGATTTTATACATACTTTCTGTACAAACGATAGTCTGAATTGCAAAATAAATGTTGAAGTTCTCTAATACAACTTGATTAGTTTAAACAAACGATTTGATATGTTAAATGCTTTTTTAATGCTCTGAGTAAACATAACTGTATGCAGAGCCAATTTTATAAATGTGTCTCAAAGTTATTCAGAACTAGAATTCCAGTTCTAGGGACACGTTCTAAATGTGGAACGTTCACCAGCATCAACGTTCTACTGGTTTCCATGGAGACTGCTTCGCGTTTAGAACCCTTTTTTAATAAGCAGCCAGCGTTGACTGCAATTTCTAAGGCCTGGGGAGAGCTTTGCGTCATATGTACAGAGCTTTTAGCGCTGTCCCCAGGGATGCGGCTGAGCCAAGCAGTGCCTGTCTGTGGTAGCAGATGAAACACTTGCTGATTAGCCTGGATCTGGTTTGAGAGAGGTGCAGGTTGACCCCCCTTTCCGTTCATTCAGGAAGCCTTGAGCTCTTGATAGGAGTAAATCTGGGCTCTGAAGCTGTTAAGTGTTTTCCTGGCTGCCCTTCCTCGGGAATCATGCACAACACAGATTATTTTATCGACATCCTCAATACAGACAAATTCAGGAAACACTCGAACTCCGATAGCTAGGATCCGTTTTTCTGATAGCGTTCATTTCCTCTGTGTGGGATGAGACTGAGCTCTGGTGAAATCACCAGTTGCTTCCTATTTTCGAAGCCTGTTTTCTTGCAAATCTGCAACTGACGCAAGTAAAGTCTTGCACAACAATTCCACCCCAGTGCTGGGGTTATAAAGTTAATAGAATGTCTCATTACACTTCTACACCAGCCTGGCCCTTGATTCATGCATGTGATTGAAAAAAAAAAAAAAAAAGACAGACAGGCAGACAGACAATTAAAAACTATTAAACATGTGGTTTGTTTATGGCCACCAACATTACCAGATGGAGAGACATAAAAGCCATTTCCTGCCATTGATATCGAGATAAATCAGTAAGCTAGTGTTTCTTTTATCATCATGTCATCTTTTATACACAAAAAGATTATTACTATATTATTACTGCAGATTATTTTATGCTGCTTAGTTGCTGAGTCAATTAAATTCTCCTGTTACCAACATTATTAAAAAATAATCATTGTATATTCTTGAAAAACAAATTTTTATATATATATATATATATATATATATATATATACACACATACACACACAAACACACTGTAACACACAAATGTGCATACAGAGCACCAAAGATTAATCTGAGCACTTTTCTAAAAAAGTAGGCTGTAAGATTTTAATCTAGGGTACATGTAAAACATGGCAATCATGTAAAAGGATCTGTGTCACATTTTCTGTAGTGATGTTTGAGAGCAAGATGATACACCTAAACTAGGCCATCACTTGCAGGGCCACAGCTGTGAATTCTCCTAATCAGTCACTTTCTGCCTGAGCTTATTGGGAGCTGGATCCAAAGTTGGTAGCAGTGACAGTTATGTGCTGCTCCTACAGTGGCAGTTCACTTGGCTATGAAAGATTAAACCAAACGGCATATTGTTTGCTTACTGTACATGGCTGGCCTTACATTACAAAAAGAAGGAAGCCAGTATTATTATATGTAAAGTAAGGAGGAAACACATTTACAGGGGTTATCCTTATACCTCTGATACATGTAACTGCTATTCAGCCTAAATTTAGGAAGGTGACACCCAGTCCCCCCCCCCCCACCCCCCCACCTTATTAACTGAAAAGAAAAAAACACTTTAATAATATAAAATAATTAGCCTTGGGGATTTGGGATCTGAGCTTAAACCTTTTATCTCTGATTATTTTAGAAAATACAATTAAACAAATGTTTTTATTTTTCGAAAAAAAATAAACATTTCCGAAGTAACGAGTTTTTAACGATTTGTTACATTGTAGCTTTTTTAAAACATTGTTTTACTTTTAAAAAGCTACAAGTGTAACAAACATTTATTCGTGTCTTCCTTTGATATTTTCTAGCTTATAAGGTAGATAATTTGTGGTTAAAACTTAAACAGTGAATTCTGTTTAATAACCTGTTATTTCTGTATCAATTGTGTTTGTCTTTAACATCAATTACTTTGTTATCAAATTATTGGGGGGGGGGGGTGAGGAGAGAGAGAATAATTCTAGTTGAAGGGATCATTTATTACATGGTCCTTCATATATTTAGTTTTTATGAAATAAACGACAGATTGTAGGATCAGTTTATAGAATTCTATTTATCCATCCACCCAATGTACTATTATATACTGCCTCTGTTTAGTTTGCTACAGTGTTACATGTACAGTATGTTATTATAATACGGCCTAATTATAGCAAACGTTATAATGCTACATTACTTTAATGTTTGGGTTAGAATAAACACGTCTTATTACAGTGGGCATGACATTGATGTAATATCACAAGTCCTTTTACTGGTGATAATTCGTTAAAATTGCTTATTCAGAAGACAAAACACTGAATTAATGCGAATTGAAAAATATAGGCAGGCTGTGTGTACAGACTATTTGGAGAAGAGTGTCAATAGTTTGGCCTAAACGTTGTCATTTTAATTTCAATACGCGTTTGCAGTTTTGTGAATAAATAATTTAATTTACACGTACATTTAACGGTTTAATCAGAAGTAGTGAGCTGAAAACGTGTATATTTAAAATTGAATAGCCGTGTATATGTGTGGATATATATATTATTGGTCTGCTTGTGTGTGCTTATTATTGAAGCCCAATTCTTTCTGTTTCCAGGTAAGCCCCTTTTGTGGAGCCCTTTCATCCAGAGACCCCTACATAAGAGGAAAGGTGGGCAAGTTCGCTTTTCAAACGATCAGACCATTGAACTGGAGAAAAAGTTTGAGACGCAAAAATATCTCTCCCCCCCGGAGAGGAAAAGACTGGCCAAAATGTTACAGCTAAGCGAAAGACAGGTACAAGAGGCTCACTACGGAAACCATTGAGTGGGCTAGCAGACTGTGGCTGGAGTGGTCCAGACCTGGAAAAAGGGTGGAGGAGGAGGGGTCGGGGCATGTGAGTGTGTGGGTCGGTCTCTCCCATAGATATCAGTCTGCACATAGTGATTCTGTCTGACACTTTACTCTGAAACAGCTTCTGTAACCTGTGTTGTACTGGGAGTGTGTTAATATGATACAATGTAATAATAATTCACACAATGACATTTACAATTAATATACCCATATTCCCTTCCATGGTTAATGATGTGGAAATGTAAATTGTAAATGTAAAGTTAGTTAGACAATATAAATGCAAACCCTCTAATTTTGACTAAGCTAACCGAGATATTGATTTGTAAGTATAGGTTTACATGGATGGTTTTACCAACTGATACCAGATGTTTGTACAGTTAGCAAATACTGTATCAGCAAAGTTGTGACGATGATTGGGATCAGCTTTTAGATCCAATATGTCTGCAAGGCTTGAAATAGTATACATGGATATTGTTAGAAAATAACGATACCAACACGTCATTATGTGTAATGTACCTATAGGATTAATGTATCTAGATTATCTTTGTTTTGCTGTAACATAAAGCCATGTCTCTTATCTTTGGTTTACAGGTCAAAACATGGTTTCAGAACAGGAGGGCTAAATGGAGGCGTCTCAAACAGGTAAATAGTAAGTTCTGTAGAAAGTCAGTCTTTCTAATTAAGTTATCTGTTAATGTGATCACCTGTCCTGCTATGTATGCCATAGTCATTTAGCAGGGGGTTTAAACTCTTCACCTTGATCAGAAAGGCAAACAGTCTATAGGAATCCAATAGCAGAGAGGGCTAAGCTTAAAAAACTTCCAGAAATCATTAAATATAACAACTCACATCATCTCTTACATACAACAACTCACAGTAACCATTACTTGTAACAACTCACACCATCTTACATACAATAATTCCCAGTAACCATACCTTGCAACAGCTCACACCATATCACAATAACTCACAGTAACCATACCTTGTAACAACTCACACCATATCTTACATACAATAACTCACAGTGACCATACCTTGTAACAACTCACAGTAACCATACCTTGTAATTATTCACACCATCTCTTACATACAATAATTCACAGTGACCATACCTTGTAACAACTCATACCATCTCTTACATACAATAACTTACAGTAACCATACCTTGCAATAATGCACACCATCTCTTACATACAATAACTCACAGTGACCATTACTTGTAATAACTCACACCATCTCTTACATACAAGAACTCACAGTAACCATACCTTGTAACAACTCATACCATATCGTACATACAATAATACACAGTGACCATACCTTGTAATCATTCACACCATCTCTTACATACAATAATTCACAGTGACCATACCTTGTAACAACTCACACTCTATAATACCCCATAGCAACTCTAAAATAACTCAAAATTGATGAACTGGAACATCTCACAACATTCCTTAGATTCAATAACAGTAGTGGCATTGATGTAATATCACACTATTTTTTAATTGGTGATAACTAGTTTTGAAAGCTGGGTTTATAGACCAGTTGGAGAAAAGTTTCAATAGTCACTTTGATCTAAACTTTGCAATTTCAATTCGCTGCAATTATATCCCTTGACATCCATGAAATGGGTTAAATCCCAGCATCCAAATCCTGCCAAGGGACATCATTTGCCCAGCTTTGGTCACGAAGGGGTTAATCTTGATACCTGACCAGTGTAAAACATTTTTTTTTTTGTTCAAGGAAGGATGTTAAATAGCTTTTTCACACTTCCCTGATGTACATAGGTGACGATGTGACAGATGTATCACATAGTTCTTTATCTTGCCAATAAATCTCATCACAGGGAGGGGCAACCTGGGATTTGTCAAGCCCTGCACTGTAGGGTCAGAAACACAAACCCTGTAGCCCTCTGGTCCCCATAAATATAGCAAATATCTACCTTGGATCTGCCTTCTTGGCTGACATCAGAAATTATTCTCTGAACCAATAACAATGCATTCCCTTAGGATTGGCTGAGATTGTCAAAGAGGCAGATTAGGGACAGAGCCAGAACAAGTCAAACACAGCCCTGGTCAATCAGCATCTCATCTCCTCATAGTAATAAATTGAATCAATGCATCTCTATGAGGAAAGTTCAGTGTCTGCATGCAGAGCGTAGAGACACTGAATGGCAGTGCTGCTCACTATGCAGCACTGCCCCATGAAGAACCTCAAGCAGCCATTTGAGGAGTGGCCAGTGGAGGTATTCCTAGACTGTAATGTAAACACTGCATTTTCTCTAAAAAGACTGTTTACAGCAAAAAGCCTGAAGGGAATGATTATACTCACCAGAACAAATACAATAAGCTGTAGTTGTTCTGGTGACTTTTGTGCCCCTTTAAAGAATGCTTGCAATTTGGCCTGAAATTGAAAATTCCTCTGTGAATTTCCCATGTGGCAACTAACCCTCTAAAACGGCTAATGCTTCAAGATGACAGATTCCCAAAATACTAATGGTGACGTCCAACTGCTGGAAAATTGTGCGAAGCAGGTTTGCACATTCATTTGTGTATTCCAGCGACTCAATTAGCCAGTTTGATGGCTGAATATGTATTGCTATGGGTATGAGCCCCACCAAGTTTCCTTAGTACATATCACTTATACACCCTGCAGACATAGTTAAAAGTGTTCCTAAAGATCTTTTAAAGCATATCAAATGACTTAATATGACCATTGCAGGAGATGGACACATGGTTAGGGAGTATTGTCCGATAAATGGCTTGTATTGGAGAGACTAGCTCACACAGATGTTAGTGTGGTCTGCAAGTGTAGAATTCTGGGAAGCACTTTAAATAGATTTGAAAGGTCAGGTTTAACAGTGTTTCTGGGGACTTCAGTGTTCTGATCAATATCTGTAACCATGACTACAGCTATTGGTCATTGTAGTTGTAACATTAATTGAAGCTAATCTGGTGATGGCACATCTAACAATTTAGATTTTTACACACTGTTGGAATGTTATATTTTATATATTTTTAGGTTCTTAAGTGGAGGTGGTCACTGATGGGTGCCTTAAATTACACATTAATTCATGCCATTTACTAGTGTTCTCTGACCCTGAATCAGTGTTTAGAACAATACATTTTAATTGAAGATAAAAAACAGGTTAGCCAGTCTAGCCTGCCAATGGCTGCTCATGACAGCAGTTTGTATAGCCAAAGCCTTCTTTCATTTACTTTAGTCTCTGCCACCTTTGCTGGAAGGTCCTTCCATACATCTACAACTCCATAAAAGCATGCCCCTGCCACGGTCTTAAACTGGAATACATGATTTAGCCGCAAAAGACTAACAGGGTTAACCACTAAAGTGATAATTATTATTATTTTATTATTTATATAGCGCCATCAGATTCCATAGCGCTGTACAATGGGATCAAAGTGAATTTCTGATTTAAGGCTAAACTAGCAGAACTGATAGCATAGCTGACTTGGAGAGGTTTTTTCTGATTTGGCTATTGTCACCTTAAATCTGAATTTCACTGTGATTTCACCTTGAATTCTGTGTTTATAGCAACCCTGATGTGCTATTCCCCAGAATTCTAACTTTAGCGAATAACATTGTAAATATTATTCTTAAAACAAATTCATTTGAGTATAGATAACAATTAGAGAGGTATTGGTAGGCATTATGCTTGCCTCTATCTTTGCTTTAAATATTAGATTGATATAAATTCTAGGAATGCAGATTGAATTTAATTTTTTTTAGGACAAAAAGTAGTCCAATTGTAAAAAATAAAAAATAAAAAGTTACCCATCTTTTAATTTTAGCTAATTTAATCCAAGATCTAAAAAATACAGTTTGAATTCATTTTCAATTCCTGACAATACACACTTTAGTAAATAAAGCGAATTATTTCAATCTATTTTAAAGAAGTCACAGAATCACGTGTATTATGGGGGCTTTGAGCTGTGATTTTTTACATAGAAAATGTGGGGAAATAAAAACTTCAGTTTAGCTTAGTTTTAGATTTTTCGTTCTAAAATGTTATAAGATGCCATCAATTTACTGTTTAGTTAATAGACCAGCAAAGTATATATTTTTTGCCATTAAATACACGAGTTTGTTAAGTAAAAATTGAGTTATGGTGGCTTGTCTAACTTGCTGAAAGTAGGCTACAAAGCCTAATGTGACTGGATGAGTTCTATATGTTTTTTCATAAAACTACATTTTCAAGTTATCAACTGACCGCAATTTTCTGAAACTGAGAATTCGAGGGACTGGAACCCAAACAGGATTTTCTCATTTATAAAAGAACACCGTTAGAGAAGTTTTAATAAAAGGATAAAATGTATCCAATGTGTCTAGTTATAAGTCGAATTTTCTGGAAAGTATACATATTTAATAGAATACTGCAGGCTGCCATTTTTTTTTTAAAGTTTTTTTTTATTGTCCTCTGTGCATCATCTTGTCACTGAGATACAAATTCAAGCTGTATTCTGTTTGGATAAAAATCACACAGCCACTTGGATTTAGTCGTATTTGCTGCAGGAAAAGCCACAATTCACCAACTCTGACACGTGTTTTCATATAAAACATTTGTATTTAGGTGGCAGAATGATGCACACCTTCATGCAGTCTAGTTTAACCCCTTAAGGACCAAACTTCTGGAATAAAAGGGAATCATGACATGTCACACATGTCATGTGTCCTTAAGGGGTTAAAGAAGTCGATACATTGGTAAATATACTTTTGCAACATTGTTAGAGATCCTTGTGAAAAGATCTGTTTAATCTACATAAATAAATGCAGGTAAAATTTCAGTTAAATAATAGCCATTCCTGTCACTACTTAAGGAAATTAGTAAATAGATGATTTATCTATGTGGGTGTGACGAAAAGGGAATGATGTTTCAACACTGAGAAACAAGGGGGTAGGTAGGTATTGGGATTATTACAGAAAAGGGTAGTGTCGAGGTTTGTAACTGTGGGGGACACAGTTCATTGAAACGTTAACTGAAATTTATATTTTAGGAAACCCCCCAGGGACATAAGAGAGAAGAGACTGAAAGTCTAGAAAATTGCTGTGAGGAAGGACAGAAGATGGGTACAGGCACAGACACAAAACAAGAATCCTTAGATGGATCCCAGTGCTCACCGAACTCTCAAGACAATCTGGACTCAGATATTTCGGAAGATTCTGAGCAGGAGCTGGATATTGAAGGAGATAAAGGTTTTCATAAATGTACATACTGACCCCCCCACTCAGCTGCCTTATCACCATGGAAACTGGACTAATTAAAACCCCATAGTTCTACCAATGGGGCTGAGAAAATGTGAAAACGTTCTATTGTTGTACATTCCACTGACTACAATGTAAATATTTTTTTATATGATCAAAAGTGTAAGATTTTGTATTTAATTATATTATTATGATACCTGTCTATTGTTGCCAAGTGCCTTTAAAATGTGGGTATGATTAAAAAAAAAAAAAAAAAAAATATTTTTAGACAGTCTGTTTTGGCCAATGACTGTACAGAGTTTTAAATGGATTCTATTTTAAACTGGACATTTGCACAGATTTTTAACGAACGTTTTTTCCACCGAGGATTTTTAAATTTTATAATTATTTAAAAATTGCCAAATAACATGATTTAGTTGAAATATCCCCCCCCCCCACCTCCACGAGAGTGATAACACCAAATGTAGCCTTACATTTTAAAATGTGTATATGTAGTATACTGTATTTTGTATATGTTTTTAATGGCATACCTGTTTATATGGTTTGTACATAAATATTTCCTTTAAAAAAATTAAATATATTTAATTTTGTTTTCGATGACAAATAATAATAATAAAAAAAGCATTATTTTTGTCTTTACCAACACAATTTTACCATCTGTACAAAATACCAAGTGGTACAAAAGGGTGAATTGTTAAAATGTCCTTACATTATATCATAGAGCAATTCTGGATTTAAGTTACATACGTGAAGCAATCACTATGCTAACTAAACGAATATTCTTGATTAATTTTTTTTTAGAATTTGAATCCAGAATCTCTTCTTATTAACCCACAATGCAAATCAACACCAGGTTTAAGCATATCATCACATCCTGTGGAGATGTGAACATTTGCACAATTGCCAATAGAAGCCCATAGACCGTGTAACTGAGGCCAATTCTGACTCATAGTTTGCTTGTATTGATCAATAAGGTCCTAGATGAATTTTTAACATTGAAAGAAACGTACAGTCGTTGAACTCTGTGCAGTGAATAGTGCTTGTCTAATTTCCCTGAAACAGTTTGTTTTTTTCGTTAATCTCAATTCTGAGAAGGCAGAGTAAACAGAGTTAATAAACTCACATTGTTTAAAGAAATAATATAAAGTAACAGATTAACTATATAAACACAATTCAAGTCCTGTTGTTTTATTATTTACCATAAATCTGCACTTTTGCGAATTGGGACAAAAAAAAAAAAGGCATACACTTAACCCTTAAAGCACTTCAGCAAGGTGAATTCCCTTAGGACAGGCTTCCCCAAACTCCGGCCCTCTAGATGTTGCTGAACTACAACTCCCATGATTCTCAGCCTATTTCATTCATAGAATCATGGGAGTTCAGCAACATCAGGAGGGCCCGAGTTTGGGGGTTTGCTTGCCTTTAACCCTTTAATGCCAGGGCTGTGTCCAATAATGCATTAGTATAGTTTGCATTGTGCAGGGCATGGCTCTGGGACACAGAGGGTTAAAGAGAGGTTTTAGAATTCCTCTTGCCATCAGCCAAAGGCACTGTTAAATTTTTTTGCGTGTATATAAATACACAAACACTTAGTGATCTCAATAAAGATAAAAAAAAAGTCTATTTGTTGTTTTAAAGAAATAGAGATTTATTTTTTTAAAACACACTAGGCCTCCCCTCCTATAAATGAACCTATTGCAGAACCTTAAATAAGTGAAGCGTTTTGCCATTTCATTCAGCATTCTTGAGCTCCGATTGAACAGATATTGCTATATTAAATATTAACTCGTTCATTCGTCAAATAAAGTTTCTTATTCTTGTGAGGAGGGGCCGAGAGACGGAAGAAAAAAAAACACACACACACACACACACACACACACACACACACACACACACACACACACACACACTTTTTTCTGATGATGAAACTATTTTCTCTTCACCTCATTGGAACTAAATTAGAACAAACCCTGAGAGATGAAAATAGGCAGAAACGAAACAAATACTTTAGTTCTATAAACATGTATATTTTATAAAAATGTAGCCAGTGGCCAACAGATACAAAATAAAACACTGCACTTCAAACAAACCCTACAAGATTTAAACAAACAACAAACCCACGTGGCTTAGGTAAAATGAAGGGATATAGTTAAACCATAATATCATACATTGCATAGTACTATCACAATGCCTACTTTATATAAATCCCCTGCCTGCTTTAAGCCACTTACTTTGGGCAGCCATACTCCTGGGAAGCTCTGCAGTTTAAGGTTTAAACAGGACCTCAGTAAGGCACATGTGACAGGGTGGGATGCTAAACTAAGGGAGTTGGTTCGGATTCCCAGCCATGCAATCAGTAGGGTGAACTCACCTCTTAATGCATAGCCCATGAGAGAGTTGTGGCAGGATTATACAATGTATTAATAATCTGACACTACAATTAAATATCCATTATTTCACCAAAGTCAGGTATTTAAAAAAAACAGAACTTTTAATGTAGAGTGTTGTGTTTTTTTTTGTTTGATATCAAATCTAAACTCCTAAATATATGTGATTAGCACTCCCACCTAATCATTTTTTATTTGATTTTATAAATTATTCTGCAGATCAAACCAATTCAACCTATTACCTGCTAGTGGAGAGATCTGACAGCCCTGACAACAAAATTGTGAAATATGTGACAGCAGTGCTAATCAATCTTTATTAATTAGGGGGCTGGGGTTTGTACTAACACATTTAGAACATTTTCCAGGATTATTCACTGAAGTGAGAATTCAAGTTTAAAGTAGCCGAACTAGAATACATTCTTGACTACTCTGGCCTTAAATTTGAAATTCACTTTGGATTCTCAATGTAGTGAATAACCCTGATAGTAATACAGTATCTAGCTAGCTATTATGTCTGTCTATAAATAAAGGGTTAATAATAGAGAGGCCAGTAAGGCCGCCCTTTATACATCTATGGCTGTGACTAAAACATTAGGGTCTATATTCGTAAAATAGGAAGTTGTGGAGAGTTGAGAAATATTTAGCAAAATTAAACCAAAAATAAAAGAAGCCAAATGTTTTTCACTGAAGCCGGAATTCTAGTGAATCGAAAGTTGAATTGCAACAGTAAAATCCAGATTTAAAGGACACAATATCCAAACAATTCTCTAAGTCAGCTCTGCTGCCTAATTTGCTGTTTCACCCTAAATCCTAAAATTCACTTTGAATTCTCACCTTAGTGAATAAGCTAGGCCTGTTACTCTCAAATAGCAAAGATATGGCTTTATGTTTCTGTTGATTCTGCAATTCAGCTTGCGCCTTGCTGTTCTCAACAATTCGTAATTTAAATTTTTGTTGTGCATGGGATTACATACAAGCTTGTCTAGCCATGACAGCTCAAATCAACATTATGGTTGTAAACATCATGCAACAGCGATATGTCATGTAGATTAAGTGCACATTGTTATATCAGTGAGATCAGGCTGGTCAGTCATGTCCAACTTCAAGGGAAGAGTAGGGCGTAGTATGCTCTAGCTTATCGTTATTAACTAGACATGCGTAAATTCTGCATATTAACTTGTGTAACTAGTCGGACATGGACAGGTGAAAAAGCATAAATGTAAGTTAGCATGCTAAATAACTGTTACAAGCTGACATGCCACTGGCTATACCTTGTGTATATATTAAAGGACGAACACTATATACACAGAAAAAAACACTCTGCGCCATAAACATACAGTGGAGCTGCAATATTAAAGGACCACTATAGTGCCAGGAAAACATACTCAGGGTCCCCCTCCCGCCGAGCTCTGGGGAGAGGAAAGGGTTATATCTTACCTTTCTCCAGCGCCGGGCGGGGAGCTCTCCTCCTCCTCTCCTCCTCATTCGGCTGAATGCAAATGCACGGCAGGAGCTGCGCGCGCATTCAGCCAGTCTCATAGGAAAGCATTCATAATGCTTTCCTATGGACACTTGCGTCTTCTCACTGTGATTTTCACAGTGAGAAGCACGCAAACGCCTCTAGCGGCTGTCAATGAGACAGCCACTAGAGGCTTTAGAGGCTGGATTAACCTATTTATAAACATAGCAGTTTCTCTAAAACGGCTATGTTTATAAAAAATGGGTTAACCCTAGCTGGACCAGGCACCCAGACCACTTCATTAAGCTGAAGTGGTCTGGGTGCCTAGAGTGGCCCTTTAATAATCGATATCTCCGCTGGTAGACTGTAGAACATCAAAGAGAAGCATAGTGTAGCAATATAATCCCAATTCCCCAGTAACCGGACGATACACAGTTCTGGGAGTCAGCTGATTTTTATTCTGCCACAGCTGGCTTTTATGCAACTCCCCATGCAAGGGGTTTCTTTAATTACATTCCAGGGGTTTTCCCCTGGTGGACCTTGTTGGGTACAGGGGACAAAGCAACATTTCCCAGACTCCTCCTCTGTACCTGGGAGATAATTGAGTAAGAACAATTATTTAATTACATTATTTCCCAGGTACATAAAATATAAAATATTTCAAAACCTCATAAAACATATTTTAATAGTTCAGAACTCCACGAAAGTTACTTCACAGAAGAGCAGGGATCTGAGTGCCCACTTTGTCGAAATATCACTCAGATCTGTTCAGTAGATTAAGAATGCCATTAGAGTGAAATTTAGACTGGTCAACCACGAGGTGAAACCCCAAAATGGCTCCAGAGGGTTTTAGGCTTTGACCGGTCTTCTTTTGGCAGTATAAAACATCAACAATAACAAATGGAACCATTCGTATAACAGGGGTCGTGTGCCCTGTGTTCTGTAGATTATGCCATGCGATTGCCGCTCCTTTTAGGTGAACTGAAACAAACACACAAAGGGATGGTAGTTCAGCGGTGTTCGTGCTGTTGAGTGTACGATTATAATTCCACGCACTCGATGACCAAACACCGCTGTCTGTGTTCATGAACAAAGATGACCGCCGCCACGTGTTCGGTCATAAGAACGATGGACACCCAGCCGACCGCCGAATACCTTGCGGTTTATAAGTGTGAATAAAGTCAATTGGAGGCACACAACTCCCCTGGGTGGTCCAACTGTTCGATAGATGGTTTGACATACGAACAATATAGCTCTAGTCTGTTCGGGAACTCCAATTGTGAAATAATTGTCTTTGACATTAACCCAACCGTCTATAATACAAGTAGGTGGCTGGTTCTGCCACAGGGAGAATTAACATTGAATACACATAGCAAGAAGAAGCATATGAGAGCTTGTGGAGTCTCAAAACACATAGTGGCTGCAGCTGCATAAGGGAAGGTCCTGTAGTAAGGTCTTTGTCAGAGTCCTGGGTGGTACGCCAGCGTCAGTCTTTTCCCAGGCGTGGGAAGCTGAAGTCTCTTGCGCTGGGGAGTGGAAAGTTTGGCATTCCAGACGTGTGGTATTGGGCTACCCCTCCCCCCAGGGCTTGGATATCTGCCTCCATCATCAGACCACGGACTCTAGGCCTCTTTTGGTTCGAGTTCTTCTCCCTGAGGGAGGGACAGAAGGTCTGGGTGGGACCGTGCTGCCTATAGTGGACCCAGATCTTCCATCTGTGTGGGTGATGCACTGGGGTTTTAACCCCTTTGG